CTACTTCCACTTCCAATACCCAGCTGGGTCCTGCAGCGCTCTCACAATTACAGCAAGGAGAGACCAGAAGGGTATTGGATCCTTAAGTCTTTTTTTTTTTTTTGGAAAATTTTTCGTATTTCAGTTCAAATTAGCCAGATCAGTTCTGAATCCTCTTAACTGAGCAAAACTCAATCATTCAAACCAGCAAGCATCCTCCACCTCGGACTTTTCAGCCCAGAACTTCAGATACTCCCAAATCTGTTGGCAGGCATCCTACGTGCAGGCCCAAGCCCAGAGAGCTCGGGGTTTGGATGCCCCCAAGTCTCACTTGCCCTTAGGCGTGTAGCCAAGATCCTCCAACTGGAAGCTGGCCTCTGGGAAGCTAATCGCAAGACTCGTAGGGTGTCCTGTCGGTAGTGCATTAGACCAGGGTGCACCCTCCACTATGCAATGCCCAGACCAAAATGGATTTGAATGGCAACAGACCAGTGCAGTGACTACACTTGACTCTCTCTCTCTATATATATATTTTGTTTGTTTGTTTTTAAAGAAATGTTTCATGTTCCAAGCCAAATCCGCCCAAACAAGTCCAAGCCCATGAGTCAGTCCAGAACCGTAAGTGGCCTTACAACTGGGAAACACCTTTCATCCCCACTAGGGGCTTCAGGCATTTCCAAAGTCTTTTGGCAGGCATCCCAAGTGCTGGCCCAAGCCCAGAGTTTTAGAGTTAAAACACCCTCAAGTTTCACCTGTCCTCAGCTATATGCCCATAGGAGCAAACTAGACAGGAGTCTGATCTATAAGCTATTAGAAATTTCCCTTTTCTTAACCAACCTAAATACTCACTCGTCTCATACACCACTACCCAGTGATTTGTGACTGAGAAGCCAGTTACAGTGAATTTTCCCTCAGGCTGCACAAGGCCCAATTCTGTTACTTTTTAAACTCACAGTAAGGATAACAACATCTAATCATCCCTACAGCCAGGTTTAAATTAATTTTAACCAAAAGAAACATAATGCCCATGCTAGCAGAGTGGGTAGCACCTATGCAAATTAGTCCTGCTCAGTCTGTTTTTCGGTTCCATCCATCAGTAGATAACGCCTTCCTTTCTGCATTTCGGTCTGGAAGGCTATATCAATGCCACAGAAAACAGAGCTACCAAATCTACAAAAACTGGATGACTGACGACACGAGGACATTCAAACATAGGGAGACGGATGTTTCAGGTTCTGAATTTCTAGCAGCTTTCCAACAGCAGTGGAAAGCCATTCACATCATTCTTAGGAATTAAATTTGGCCAGGGCATACGGAACAGGACAGACATAAGACAATCTGGTCCCGTTAAAGCAACGCAGAGGAGCTCAAAAGCATCACTGTTTATATTTACAGCCAAACTTCATCCCCTCTATATTTAGATTTTATCCTTTAGTGAACACAGTATTGTGGGAAGGTTGTTGGGGCTGGTTCATGAAGGCTGCTCCCTCACCTTCCCACATCCCAATCACACATTTTTGACCACGAGCAACCACTGTGCGATGACAAAGTGCATGAGTTTGTGTTCATTCAGACCCTACCCACTCTGCCGTAACTGCCAAGAGGTGCCAATTGTTGTATTTTCTTTCTGCCAAGTGCTGCCAGTGTGGCTGGCATGACCATATTAGCAATACCCAGAGGATTGGCAGAGATTGGCCCAGAGAACAGTTCAATTTTACTTTTAGCACATTCTCAAGTTGTGAAACAGAGGCAGACTACTTATGCAGAAAGGAGTCTTTTTAGGGCTACTCTTGCCACATTTCATTTTATGGTTTCTCTACCAATTCTTTGAAAATTATCTGAATGTTGGCATTAATCCCCAGCTAGACTGAGGGACCTGGACAGCCACAAGCTCCCTGATAAATACAGATCGAGTTTGCTTTCTTGGGCTGGAAATAGACATAGCCAAATGAAGTCAATCAGCTGTGCTGGGATATGCCAGACCTGTTGTTCTGCCTGTTGATGCTGCAAGGCAACAGGCGATGCGCAGGGTTTGAGGGACCCTGTCCTGTGTGACCCAGGAATTCCCACACAGGATAAAGCCCCTCGGGCACTGGGAGTGCCTGCTTGCCTTTCCCCTCTGACAGAAACGTGCCCCGAGGGAGGGACGTGTCTCCATAAGTGGGGAAAACTGGGCATATGCTCCTGGGGTTTGAGGCACTGGCTGCCTGTGCTCTCATGACATTAATTGCCATTAATAGCCATTCAGCAAATAGATGTCTGCTGCTAAATAGCAGCACAGAATGAAACCACCTTTGTGACAGCCACAAATTTTCGGCACTTGGGGGGGCGACAAAGAGCACAGGAATCTGTTTTCTTGGTTTTTGTGCCACCATAACATTTTATAATGGCACAAAAGTGGTGTCTGTTTCTGCCCCTAGTCCCCCATTATGAAGGCTGGGTTATTTTACACATTTACATAGCACAGTCAGTCCTTCCTCCAGTTGCTAAGAACCACTGCTGCAACAAATACTTAAGCACTCTCTTCCCTGCTTTTACACCATGTTGAGCATGGGTGCAACATGCATAAACTACAAATAAAAAATACTAGAACTACAGATCTGGTTTGTGCTTTAACTGCTCTTCTCTTTCAACTCCAGGGAACTGGTGCCTTGAATTACAGTAGAAGAGCACCCCCAAGTGGACAGCAGCAAATGTTACTCTAGAGAGCACTTCAGGGAAGTTGAGTTAAGCTGGAAGCGCCTCTGTCACAGAACAAAAAAAAAGAAAGCCTAACAAGCAGTCATTGTTTGAACACCTGCAGATCTCCCTCTACAGCTGGGAGGATGCCAGCAATGCGTTCCTTGCTGGCCAGAGTTCAAACTGTGACCTTTTAAAACAGGAAGCAGGTGAAGGCTGGGGTTTCATGTCAGAAATCTGGCAAAGGGAAAAGCAGAGAAACTGAGAAGGTAGAGGGGTCCAAGCTGCATACCAAATAAAAGAGTATTTCAAAATGTCATTAACCTTCCTGCCTTACCCTGTACTCACCGCCACCTCTTTGTGAAAGCACCCTCCTCCTCTACCTTCTCTATTGGCATGTACTTGCACATGGCTAGTGGGGTTCACACCATGTCGCGAAGACAGTGCTCAGTCCTTATGCTTAGATATATCGGGAAACCATTTTAGAAGCCTACACTTCAGAAATGACAGAGCACCTGTCAGTTATGTCATGTCACATCAGTAAATCAACAGCAGTACACACTGTTTTATGAGGCTGGACAAAACTGAAGCCTATTGCTGTGTCGATATGCTGGCAGACTGGGAGACCAAGTGGTTAAAGACAACAACCGAGAGTCAAGACTCCCACACTTCATGAAGACTGGATTGTGGGTAACTAGCATCTTTCACAAGTGAGAATCCCAGTTTACCGTCCCATGACAGGGATATACACTACTTCTCTCCTTCAAAAGAGGCTTTGGAAATTCTAGGTGTAAATGGAAAAGAAGAGGACAGCTTAGCTAGAATTTGGTTCGCTTTCCTTAAAAATGAAGCATTCAAGAATCTTCCAGGACAAGGGTAAGATTTTTTTCCCTTGCAATTATAAAAAATAATAATCAGAAGATTATTATCAGAAGATAATAATCAGTCACAGTGAACACAGCTCAGGAAGGGAACTGTAGCGGGGCTGTAAGGGGAAATCAAATCTTAACATGACTGGTTTGACCAATCTGGGACATATGGAGTAGGGGAGGGGGAAAGGAAGGAAGCCCTTTACACATATTTTCTGTTGACAATGAAGCAAGGAAAAATGCTTAAGCATGTATTTTGGCTTAAGAAAAACATCAAGCCTGTCCAAAATTCACAAACGTTTTATTCCAAGTAACACTGAAAAAAGAAAAAGAAAATCAAAGGGAGCACCCTGGTTGTTTGATCTCTATGTAGGCATTTCAAATTAAGTAGATTACATACTTCTAGATGCTCCTTGTCAGTAAGAGTTTTACTTCGCAGGCGGGCTGGGGCATAAAAGCTGTAGCAACCTGCTGCTGCAAGGATGCTGTGCTACAGCTACAAGTTCCAGTGTGCTCTTTGCTGAGCAGGGTCTCAAGCTGTACATGGCTGTCCTGAGCTAACTAGGGAATGCAAGGGACTGCCCCTTTCTCATACAGCACGCTACGAATATTACCTGCACAAAAAAGTGCTTAACCTTTTCTTTCTGTGCAAACATTAATAGATTTTGTCCTGTGGACATCTCCCCTCCCATTCACAGCACCCTGGACCACTTCCTTCCATTTATGATCACATAATAGCTCTGTGGCAGATGCTGGTATTGCTTACAGGAGAAGTATTTGTATTTTTCAGCTGTCCTTTATTGCAATTTAGCAGCAGGGAAAAATAGTATGATAGCATCTTCCAGCTATACATTGACCGTTGTGAGAATCGCTGTGCTGTGGTGACTTTACAAATGATAAAGCCCAGGCCAAATTTCTCAAGAGCAAGGAGAATGTCATCTTCAGAAAAAAATGGAGCAGAGTAGTGGCATATGCACACAAAGGTGTTTGTACCACAGAAAGTTAAACATCCTCCTTCCCTATTCCATAAGGAACCTGAAGCCTGCCAGAACATTGCCAAAAAACCCCGTCACCCTTTAAAGTCTTCTAAGAATTACTTTTAAGTTATAGATTTAGCAATGTGGAAATACTGCTTTTACCAATAACTTCACAGATTTTACTACCTCTTCGTCATAGTCCTAATGCTATTCGCATGTCTTCCACCTGTTGAAGTCTAGGTTATACCTCAATTCTAACCTCTGGAGTAGGACCTGCCTATTTGTACAGTACTAGCATAAAAGGGTTCCCCCAAACCAACCATAGTAAAAAAATAATATGTTTCAAAATATCAGCTTGATGTACTGAAAAACACTTCTGAAAATAAATAGGTTCCTGCCCATCTGGACTACATTCCTTTGCACAGTTACTTTAAGAGGCATACTTATTTGTAATATTCAACATTCACCTTCAGAATTCAAAAGCACCAAGTCCACGTTAGCTCCAAAGTTGTACTTTATTTAATTAGAAAGCAGAATGTTTAGGCATAAGCTCTTTTTGTGAATGTCCCTTGTACAACAAGCAGGTCCTGTCTTGAGGACATATCTACCTGTAGGTATACCAAGGTTCCAGCACTAGACAACGTAACAGGTGCATTGAACAAGCACTCTTTACCAGACACGCAAAAACTGATGGTCTACCAAGTTGCTGAGAAGGTATTTGACAGAAAAATGCAAGTAACATCTCCAGCTCAGCCAGAATGATATGCCCAGAACCAAGGTCTTCTTCATTTTAACAGTGAAAGCTTTGATTGGTTTTATAGGGAAAATTCTTCTTCCCCTCAGAAGCCTCAGGAAAAACATTCCCTACATTTGCATCAAAAACACACACTGTTAATCCTAAAACAGACTCTGAATAAAAATAAGAATGTAGTGTGAAGTAGCAGCAAGCTTGTTGTCATAACAGTACTCTTTATTCACGGGTACTTCACTGCATCATTTTCACCCCTTTTCCAATTCTGGTCCTTGTCCAAAATATGAGGGTGGTGGTATGTGGGAGGTTTTTTTTGATTTTTGGGGGTTTTTTTAATTTTAAAGTAGAATCTTGCATTTTATTTTAAGAGGTATGGCTCTCACAGAGCTTGCAGAATTCTCATATATTTTGTAGCTGAATTAGATGGTTCATACAGCAAGAACTTCTGGACCTTGTCTACATTTTTCTCCATGACATGCAGTAGAGAAGCTCCCATCACTCAAAGCAGAACAGTATTTTACAGTTTCAGAGTAGCAAGAGAAAATACACAGAAACTCAAAATTGATGCAGTACAGAAAAATACGCCAACATTGCTGTCTCCCACTCTGGTTCTCAGGCTGGCAATACTGCTTGGAAGGAATTTTGTGCGTGTCAGGAATCTTGCAAATAAAGATTACTGCATTTGGTCATCTAAAAAAATACTGAAGGCTTAAACGAAAGTGAGATACTACAGATTTTTCAGCTCCCTTGAAGTCTTTTATAGACACTGCTCCAATATGAAAGACTGGCCCTGAAGCATAAAAAGGAATCCCTATACTTCCTTGACAAATGTTTTCACTATCAAATAATCAAGTCAACATGAATATACTTAAGCATATGCTGGAGATGGAGCAGAGAAGTCTTCTGTGTGGAAGAGACATGAATTACTTGACAGCAACTCTGGATCCTGGACTATAAACTGAACTTCAAGATATAAATTCCACTTGCAGCATTTCATATGAATGAGTCTCTCACAATTGACCAGAAACAAGTAGTCAAATACTTGTCCCTTCATTGCTGCTAGGCCAGCACTTATTTAAAAATGAGAATACCTTGGGTTTAAATGCATGGGCACAAGTGTATTTGCATCCAGCTAGCTGTGAGATACATTTCTCAACTTGTGTCAGAGCTGGAAATTACTATGGTCAAGGTGGTGATGAAAATGGTAGCTTGAGCATTTACAAGGCTTCCCTGTCTTGTCAGGTTTAAAGGGTAAACTCTTTAGGCACAATATCTGCTTCCCTGGAGGAACCAAGACAGACCTGAGTTTTTCTTCTCATGAAGAGAGGGGAAAGCATTTTTATTTTTATTCTCTACAGAAACTAGGCAACAGTCTGAAGCCAATACTCATCATATGACAAGACCTAACTTAATTTACAGGACATCTGGAAATAGAGGCAGTTTTGTAAAGACACTAACAAACTGCCTCTCCCAATCTGCCATATTAAAAAAAACAAAACTAAACAAAACAAAAAACTGAACATATTAAACAGTGTGTGTGCTTACAACCTTAATTATGGAACTCCAGTGCCAGAGGGAAATCCTTTTCTTGGCACATCCACTGTGGAGATGCAAACACAAGATATACAGAAAAAAAATCCCTTCCAATATATAACCCTCCCCACTCATGCCCGTTTACACCAAAGCCTGTGAAAGCTTCAGATCTACCATTTCAGCAAGGGCATAAAAAAAGTTAGAGCTGTCAAACAAAATCCAATTAAAAAAGATGGATTTACTAATAAAGTAATTAAAATACATTTTTCTTTAAAAGGGGTTTTTGCCATTTTCCAACCCTTTATAAAATGCAAACGGTATGCTAAAAAAGTCTGAACCAAAGGGAATGTGCTTTGGAAACATTATTAAAAATACATGTTCCAAAAGCATGATGTGCCCGAGTTTGTTTTATTTTTCACCTGATTGGGTAATTCGAGAACACTCTTCCCCCTTCCCTGGGTCCATAAGAAGCTGGCTTTAGAAAAGAAGAGCTCCCATGCTGCCAACTTCACTCTGTTCCTTGACAAAGATTTCAAAGTACTGGTAAATGATAGTGACAGCAAGCAAAATTCCAGTTCCAGACCCAATCGCCCCAAGGAAATCTGCTAGGACAGAGAGGGCACCAATGCAGAGACCACCAAATGCAGCAGCTGTGGGAATATACCTGTAAAATACAATGGTAATAAGAAAAGCACTGTCAAATTTCACTTTGGATTTGAATCACACTACTTTTCACATGCAAGAGTGCAGTACTGTTGTAGGATAAAAGGTACCTGGTACTGTAACCTAAAATCAAGAGCTGAGTGTTTTTCCTATAAAGGAAATACCAACTCCTTTAAAACACGAAACTAGACTTCAGGCAGCTAGGGTCAGAGTGCTTTTTCAGCAGCTACCGTACAATTTGATACCATTGTTACTAATAAACATAGAATTTTTTGTAACAGAACACCCTTTTCCATCCTGGTTTCAACAACCAGGAAGGAGGAACAGGCATTAGGATCATACTAGACAAGGTGGGAACATAGCTTGGCTCAACAGAAGGACAAGCTGGAGTTATGGATAAGAAAAGGCTGTATTAGTAAGCATAAAGGGCCGGTCTATAGCAACTGGCTCACCCAAAATACAATGCATCTTCTCCCAAATACTTTAAAGTTAGGATTGTGATGGACCAATACATACTGGCACCTGTATCCCACCACAAATTACATGTTTATATTATGGATCAATACACAGTGGGAAGCACTGCAGAACTCAAGAGATCCCTTTTGTTCACCTCTTGGCAAAGTATTTTAATGATTAAATATTTTTAAAAGTATTTATGTAGAACACAGAACTCTGACCCAGAACTGTATGTAATTGAGGGATCTGAATATATTTAACCTTACTCATCAAAACAGAGTGTTTGAAAATGTAAATGCCTGTTTAAAAGCCAAGTGTATTCTTATAGGTAAAAAAATAAAAAAAAACAGTAGGAATATAGGTGCATATGCATGATCACATGGAAAAGCTTTACAATGACCTGATGTAAATGTTTCACCTGACTACTCACCTATTCCACTCTAGATGAACACTGTAGTTTAACTGTACTATACAGTACTAGCATAGGAGTGGACAAACAAAACAATGACTAGTTCAGCTAAGTATTAAGATCCAACCATTTCCTTTAGAAGTTTGCATTACATCTGTCCATAGCCTAAGTTATATTACTCACATTTGTGAAGTCCTTAACAGCCATACGAGGATACTAAAAACAGTAGAACCATCACAATAACTGCTTACTAAGCTGGGCAATTGCATATACATGTCCTTAAAGGAGACAATGTGGGCCTTAATTCAACAGCTCTTATTCTGTCCAGGGAACCCTAAATCCCATACATCCCACAACTGTCAAACAGTACTGAAGCCAGGATGTTCACTACCGCAAATACGTTTCTACCACTTGAGCCATGTCCTTTTGCTGTGAAATAGCAATAGGTTGCACTACCTCTGGGCCTAGCCATTAGCAGATGAACACATGTGCTAGGCCAGAACGTTACATGAAGACTGACCTGGAAAGAACATGATGTATTTTTATCTCACCTGTTTAGTTCATGTACCATGGAGGTTTCCCTATGGCCTCTCATGACCATCTGTTGCTCTTTCAGTTGTTTGGCAACCTGCATTAATGCAAGAAGTTGAGGTTATAAATTTGATGCCAGTTTAAAAGATACTATCACAGAATCTGCCAGCAGTTTAGAATTAGTAGTAAGGTCCCTTGTGGGGCTACATGTCAACCATCTTCCAAAAAACAATATTAAAAGCAAAGCGAAGCCATTTACAAGGATTATGTTTATTTCAATTTGTCTTTTTCCACTTTTGTAAGCCAGGATGGGCTGAGTAAATAAGAGGCATCTCTACACCATCCATTATTGGATGCTTTTGGGGATAAGTCAAATTATGCTGAAAAAGAAGCCACCACTGGGAATAGGCAAACTATAAAAGAGCAAGTTCCTAGTGGAATCTTTTACCAACCAGTAAGCAAAACTAGGTAACCTTTAACAAAGTCAAACGTGGTTCTGTATAACACACTGCAATTTTTTTGTGCTAGCTCTTGTAAACTCCACAAATAGAAACTCAAGGAAGTTTAAGCCCCCTTTTGTTTGTTTAATGCAATTAGGGTCCAACAGTCTCTCCTGTAGTGCTGAGACAACATTCGTAGCATATTTGGTATTTTACGCACAATAAAAAAACAAAAACTAGTCAACGTCTTATGACTGCTGCACAAAGGTCCTCTCACGCACCTAAGCAGCTAGGTGCAATCCCAAAATGAAAATGTTCCAGCTGTTATAACTATAATGAGAACTGTACATTACTCATATTCCATTTTTTAGTTCATACAGTTGCAAAACAAAAAAAAAAAAAAAAAAAAAGCTCACCTCCTTACCAAAACCACATACCCTCAATGTCAGCCATTTTTCACTTTTGATAACGCCCAGCAATGCAATTTAAGAATGAAACATTTTGCCTGAGCTTCAAGCGTCTTGGAACAACTGACCCTCCCTGAGGCCAGACAAATGTATATGAGATGAATTATTTTCATGATACTTGGAAACACTGTGACAACTAACTATTATACCCAAAGAGGCCTCAAGAGAGCTTATTTTGGCCAGATGCGTGTTCAAATATTGCTTTTAAATAATGTAATTACTGACACTATGTAGCTGTGTTCTCTCCACTATGCTGGAGAAATGTATGACTTTCACATTGTCTTGTTTTCTTCTATACTACCCAAGTGATGTTTAAGCATCTTTTTTCCTAAGCTGCTCAACAAGACCATTTTGTAGTTTTTTGTTTTTTTTAAAGAGGCAACGAGCAAGGAGACAGCAAAAAGGACATAAAGAAAGAATCGGGAGACCAGGATTCTACCTTTGTGTGCCCAAATTCTCCCACTTGTAAAATGACAATGGAAATGCTTACTCACTTAAAGTCCTTGAGATCGTCAAGACAAAAGGCAGACTATGTATGCAACATTACTGAAGCACATCTGGCACTAGTCTATAGTGTCCATTTCAGAATATTACTGGGAGGGAATAATTACTGCACAAGAATTCTCCTGACTTAATGCTGCAAACTTATTTCTTTTACTTACATCTTTGGCAGAGGAGCCAGAGACTTCAATCCATGTCTTAGAGAAGAACGCACAGGAGCCCAGCATAAATACTATATAAACAACGGCATGGACAGGATCCTCTAACACTGAAGTAAAGGACTCAGGGGGTGACAGATAATAGCAAAGTCCACCGACTGGATAAGCACGAGCAGGACCTCCAGATGACGTGTCCTAAAAGGAAGAAGCAGATTTGTCCTACTTAGTTTCATCTCCCCGCCTGTTAGCAGTTAGACTAGCCCCCACAAAAAGCACCACCACACCTCATTACTGGGTAATATTCATGCAGTGCACAGGGATTTGAGTTTTCCCAATAAGAGCAGTTTTTCAATGACATAGCAAAATATAGTGACACATGAACCAAATGAATTAGGGTCAGCAAAGGAGGAAGAAAAACCAACCAGTTAGAGATTGAACATATATATATTCAAAGGAGAAAGCTACACACTCTACAGTCAACAACAAAGGAAAAAACATCAGAGGCTGGACTATTAGTCTCAGGATGAATAATTCTGCTTGTGAATAAGTGGCCTTATTTTTAGAAAGGCTGTCTCCCAGGCTGGGCATTTAAGTGGGGCCCTTATACAGCAGATTATAGAAAACAGCCAAATACTTACAGACCAGGTACCCAGTAGGCTAACCAACAAGTTGCCACTGAAGCGAGCAGACAGCATCTGGGAGATCACGTACAAATTGGATACCAGGGCAGACTGAAGAATGATGGGAATGTTGGAAGTATAGAACAGCTTGATAGGGTAAGTGTTGTACTGGCCACGGTAGCGGGCAGACTTGATGGGGAGGTCCACTCTGAAGCCCTAAAATAAATCAGAAGAAAATCCATCATTATATTTTAGAGTTGACATAGATAAAGAGTACAGCAACCCCACTATTTCAACAAGACCTCATCAAAAGTCCTGCTGGGAAACCTGCAGGTGTCATGTGCTCTGCCAGCTAAGCCATCCACTTAAAAAACTTCTGCCAAGACCCTGGAACAATTACAGCTGGGCAAGGCAGCTTAAACATACAAATGTATTAAATGCCACGGTTCTTAATAGACAATCTTCAGTTTGCTGGTAAACAAATTCAGCATAGCATCCAGGGGAGGAAGCTTTAAAACTTAACTAGATTTATTTGCTGTTTGTGGACTTTTTGCTCCATTCAACAATGAAAGGACACAGATTTTTAAAAAGTCTAAGGTGTTTTCTGTCAAAATGGCCTGGTCTTTTTGGCAAGGTCTACTACAATACACATATCCATCAGCTCTGTTGGAGAGTAATGACAGATCGCAAGCCTTTGGTGGATACAGTAAGCCAAGTATAGAAGCCTGTAGCCTCTGCAGATCAGGTAACTGAGTACCAGAAGCAAGAAGCCTTCTGAACACATCAGCAGGTGAAATGTAACCCTGAAAGCAAATCAAGCTTTAAAACACTCAGCACATCAAAATTTTGTGGAAGAACAGAACCACCAAACACTGAACTAATTTTATTTGTATTTATCTTCAGAATCATCCGCTTTTCTATGGAGGCATTTCTAAAGTCTCTACCCAAAGTACATGAAAATGCAAGTGATACCAGGTAATGTATATAAATATAGTGAGCCATGCAATCCTTTATTATTTCCATAACAAGCACTTTTTAGACAACGTTCTCAGTTCCAACTGACCTGGAAGTAAATGACAATTGCAAAGACAAAGATGGTGGCAATCAGGTTCATGAGGTTGGGAAGGTTCTGGCGGTAGAAGGCTTCACGGAGAGCTCTGACTTTATCTGTACGAGTAGCCAGCAGATGAAACAGAGCAATGATGGCGCCTTCAAACTCCATTCCTTAAAGGAAAGAGAAATTGCAAGGAAGTGAGTTCAGGTATCTTGTGACCTTGAGACTTTGTCCTATTAACTAGGGTTTGGAAATACACTGTAGAATAGGATTTTAAAAGTACTTGCTTTTAAAAGTACTAAATCTGCTGTCACTAGCGAGTTTTACCAGAGACCTCCAAGGAACTGGTCAGGCCACACACTTGCTATAGGAAAACAAATGAATATGGAAAAATGCTACTAAGTCCAGATGCTAATAGTCTAAACATGGATTTTATACCCCATAGCTTTTTTACCACAGTGCCAAAGAACACACTTTAACATGAAGTAACAATTGTATAAAGTAAAGGAATTTAGAGATGAAAACAGAGCACTTAGTAGCTGCAGAATGCAGCATATCTTGAAAATCTGAATCATTATTCAAAATAGTTTTGGAACTGCATTGCTAAGCAAAGTTATTCAGAAACCCAGATTTCCCACAAAACAAAGCAATAAGCACAAAGGGCAATGAATTACAGAATCAAAGCCAAAATGACTAAGTGACATTTCAGAGGAACACGGTACTTTATTTTTTTCCAGCAGGAGTCAAAATTGTTTGCTTTGTGAGCATTGGGTTCTCCTGAAGTATAAAAGACAACTTGGATTAGGGAAAAACAAAGTCACATCAGTAAAGCCCAAGGCTGTGGAAGAATAAGTTTTGAGTGTCATAACTACAAAAAAAAGAGTCTCCTTTGAATCAGTGGCACTTGCAGCAGCAGACTCAGATGGCCCCTTTTGGGCAGAGCAATCTTACATTCCATACTTTCCCACAATCCTCAGGATTACCATCCCTCCTGCCAGTCTCTGCTAATCATACATGTAACCAGTAACCCTAAAAGTGGTGCAAGTACTCTGAACACTTAAAGGGCAAAAACAATGCAAGTGGAAAAAGCTGCAGGTTAAGTATTAAACACTCACAGCTTATTTTTACACCTCAAATTGGCTGACTTTCCATAAGTAGGTACTATGTTACAAAATTAGAGTGTTCTATTTCCTTCGCCTCATCTCTCCTTGCAGTACCATAGAGTACTTTCATAGGATTTACACCTAGCGTGCAAACATTCCCCTCATAACTGGGATTCCATTTGATAAATGCTACAGGTTAAGAAATCAGGAGCAGCTTTTGATGGTTATTTTGCCACATTGTTTTTTTTCCTTTTTTGGGCTCAGAAATAAGATCTCTCTAAAACTCAAATGTGCTTTGGATGCTCACCACAGAGCTATGAATACGAAATTTAGGTAATTGATACTTCAGAATGTGGAAGAATGAATGTAAATGTACAAGGGTAGCCTCTTCATCTTCCATAAATAAGTCCTAACATGAGTAAAGACCACAGAGAATAAAATATGTTACCTCGACCAGTGTTCACAGTGGTGGGGCTGAATGCCTTCCATACAATAGTCTCACAAATGTTAGTAGCAATGAAGAGAGAGATGCCAGAGCCAAGACCATAGCCTTTCTGCAGAAGCTCATCCAATAGCAGAACTATCAATCCAGCAACAAAAAGCTGCAGGAAAGAAAACAGCATTATTCACCCTTTTTATTTTCCTAACAATGCTCACTCTGTACAAGTGTTTTGTGCTACTGGAGGTGGCAAAAAAGAAAATCACCAGAGGTTAAGCAGCAAAAATCCGATTTAGTTGGCAGACACTGGTGTCTTGATCTCTTTTTACTCCATTAGAAGTGGACAATGGTCCTTGAGGCTGTTTGTTCACACCTTCTACACTCAGGCTAAAAAGGGAGCATAATGTTGAGGAATGACATATGGTCTGGTATAAGGATTACCTGAATTGTGATAAGCAAACAGATACCAGCACCCATCTCCGATGGATCTCCGTACATCCCAGTCATTACATAGACGATAGATTGACCGATGGTAATAATCATGCCAAACACTGTAGAATAAGAAAAAGCACTGGCTGTTTAGTCCAGAGATTTACACCCAGGAGGAAGGTAGACTAAGTAACAGAGGTTTTTCATTGTAGGCTCTGAATTTAGAGGACTGTTTCATTAACTCCTTTCCTAAGTTAAAATTAATTTTAGTCAGTGAAATCGGCTGTAAGACACTACAACACTTACAAATATTTCATAGCCACAGTGAGAGAAAACTGTCATAAGACAAGAAGCAGAAAAGTTTCCACGCTTGCAGGAAATACTTTTAAGAATATCTTGAGTAATAAGCTATTGAGCTGATTCTTAAGCATTTTAGATTAGGTTTTTTCCCCCAATAAACAGATTTGTGTGTGTTCCCCTTATTTATTTCACAAGTTGCAATGAAGACATAACTAAAGTTATCTAAAAATTTACCACTGGGGCACTAATAGGACCATTTATTGCAAGGAGTCATATCAAGAGTCACAAGAATGAATCTGCAACAAAGAACTGCCTCATTGTTTTGCCCTGCAAATATGCTTCAATCCTAAGCAAGGGACCATTTCTAGGCAGCCAGGGTTGAGGGCTGGCTTTCCAACATGCATTAAATGCTTGGCTTCTCTGCTGTACGTGCAGAGGGACTTAGACACATATCCACTAGGAATGTGACTGAAGCTTACTAGATAATAGGCCAAACAGCAATCCAACAACAAATTAGAGCACTAGAGTATTGATTTGGAATCAAGGGAGACCTGTATGTCAGACTCTACGATTTGTCACAGGGTTAAGTTCACAGCTTACTGCTTCCATTGCTACAGTGAGGCCCTCTCCGAAAGAAAAGAAAAAGCATTCTATACGAACCTCCTTCATTATCAGTTGCTACTTACATTTCTGCGCTCCGTTGAAGAGAGCTCTGTCTTTTGGGGTGTCACCAACTTCAATTATCTTGGCACCAGCCAGCAGCTGCATGATGAGCCCAGAAGTGACAATGGGTGAAATACCCAGCTCCATCAATGTACCTGTCATATGCAGAAAGTGGAATGAAATAGAATCAATGCAGTCCAGCCATTTCCATGGCAAAAAACTGACAGGCTTACCTCACCAGGGTGAACTAATGTGACACAGAATTAAAAATAATACTTTTTACTTTATAAAAATTATAAAGTCTAAGTCAGTTTAAAAATAAAAGCTTTCAATGGAAATTGAAGCTTGATGAAAATCAGTTTAAACCATGCATCATAGCATCACTCCTCAGAGCTTTCAGAATGATAAGATCAATCCTTTTTCAACAGGTATGCCAGGTTTAGATGATATAAAGCTTCTTTCACTTTTTTTTTTTTTTAAACAAAGGACATTCAAAGGAGTTCTGAGGACAGAAATGAGCAACTGTACAAGTGTTCCAAAGTTATATGGTAGTCTCTTCCCTTCCTACTGCACTATAGTTAACAGATATTGAAAACTGATATTATATATACACTTGTGTGCACATGCACACACACACAGACTGGTATCAAAGTATACTGAAGCAACTATACTTCACTTGAATTGTGTCAGCATTAAAAAAAAAAAAATCTTCAGTGAACAACCAGCCAAACTACACCAACCACTAAGGATTTTTCTGCCCCATGATTCACTCAAAGGTGTCACTAAAACAAAACTAAAAGGTTATCACATAGCTGGGAAACTGCATTCAAATGCACTGTACTTGCTGCAGAATTTAGAGCCGTCTCATTCCCCTTTTGTTTTCAAAGGCTATTTGGCTACACTGTAGATATTTGCAATATATGCCCATCCATATATGGAATTTTTTATACTGTTTATGCCAGCTCTAATCCCCAAATTTGTTTGTTTTATATTTTATCTGTGTTTATTGCTTTAATTCAGATATTAAACATCATTACTAAAAACCTGCAAACCAAGATAAGCCCCAAATGTTCAATGGAGCCAAATTATGTAGCAACTAGAAATACAACAAAATCATGCACTAGGAAGTGAGAAATTTCCCCAAGAAATGGGATCATACCTCTGTTTGAAGCCAGAATTACTCTCATCCAGTAGAAAGGATCTGCTGAGTCTGATGACATGATACCAAACAAGGGAATCTGAATGTCCATGCAATGAAAGGGAAGTGAGGTTAAATAAAATTATGGACTTGGTTTCCCTTATTTTAAGGAAGGGTTGAAGGACTGTTACACACATACCTGGCAGCATACTAAAAAGATGAAAAGAGTGATAGCTGTCCATAGCACTTTTTCTTTAAATTGAATCTAAAGCAAGAGAGATAAAAGGGAGAATTATACTGAGTAAGCTGTCACTGTCAATGTCTGATCTATTAAGCCAGTTAACTAAACTCTGATAGCAGCCTCAGCTCATTCTACTTTTCCACCCTTTACAAGATAAGTAAATATAGGCTTCTTGAAGAAAATTGCCAGTCCCCCTTTCATCCCTTTGATGCTGTATAGAGGTTTGAAAGAAAAAAAGTGCCAAATCTTTACTTAAACTTCTATTCAATTAAACAAGCATAAGTAAACAATAAGGTAATTCCAGTGTTTTTACTGAAATTGATACTTATAATTTAATATCCTAAAGAAAAAAAAAAGCTTTTAGCACCAAACTAAGATTGTCTGAATTAGCTGCATTTCAGAGAAAAAGATAATTTTAAGTTTAATTTTTAGGTATACAAGTTCATATGTCTCACATACATAGCCATAGCTTATGCCTGATCTACAAGGTTGACTGTTTTAGCTATATTTACCAAAACAATTGCTCACCACAGTACTTTTAGCATAGATGCAGTTATGCACCAGTACATAAAGGTACTTTTTGTATCAATACCATTATACTCACAGCTGCAAGGGTAGTACTACTATAACTATTTCAGTTAAAAATAATCACATTGCTGACCACTACAGTCACGTCAGTTCAAAACCTATATCAGCTAGGCCTTATACATTTTATCTTTCACAAATAAAGAATGATGAAGGACAATTTCAATAACATACCTTCCTTTCTGGCTTTTGGATTTCAGGCAAGATAACACAGAAGGGCTTGATTACTTCCAGAAATTTTACTGCAAAACAACAAGTTAAAAAGGCAAATGAAACACAGGTATGAAATTGATAGCAAACTTGATTACTAGGCACTGAAACTTGATAAAACACAATCTGAAAAGTTAGTTTTTACAAGTCTTCAGGATTCCAATTGTGGGCTTAGGGCTTTCACACCTTAACCCCACATGGATAACCGCACTGACAAGAATGAGAACGAGTGGAATGTTACAGGAAGTGATTCTGGGTGTTTTCTGACTATCTTTGTTGAGAAGGACTGCAGGAAAAAAAAAGCCTGTAAGTTTTGCTACGTGATGTTTTTTTCCCCCCCTCAAGAGACACAAACATGCTCTTTACTTTGTATTTAGGATGGCTACTTCCTTAATCTGATGTTGGCCCAAGTGTCTGTTCTCCCATTATTCTTCCATGTCCACATGGACATGAACATTTGGTTCCCTGGGAACAACTAGCCAAGGCACACTCTTTGCTGCCTCTAGCTGTCCCTGGGGACCCCCTGTGCCATGTGTCCTCTGGCACGTGGCAGGTTACCCCAGATGGGGTACAGGAGGCTGCAGCCAGCACTGGGCTGGCCCCAGCAGCCTTACCTGGGGTCCTGGGGGCTGCTGGGGCTGCAGCAGCAACAGTCCTGATGCTCAGAGCCTGGCTGGTAGCTAAAGCATGGCTCTGGACAGCCAGACACTGGCTTTGAGTGCCAAATGCTGCCCCTGCATGCGCCACTCTTTATTTTGCATGGCTTTCTGTTCTTGCACTGCAGAGAAGAGCTGAACATGCGGTAAGTGGCACTGCGGACACCACACAGCCACGCTTGTCTAGACACGGCCTTGGCACATCAAGCAGAAGGTACAGTTGGGCCACACAGCTGAATTTGGGCAAAGTTACTCCATCCCAAAGGACTTATGCATGAAACTGCTCTCTAGGGCAGCAGTTCCCAAACTCCAGCAGTTTGGGAAAACGATGTAAAACGATATGACCCTATGACAAAAATGACATGACAAATGTAAAATGATATGCCCTTAACTACCACCAGCAAACTTTTCAGTTCAACCTTAAGTAGCACCAGCAAATTTTGGTCATTTAAAGGAATTATAATAAATCTGTTAACGCGTACCACAGATTGGGAACCGCTGCGCTAGAGCAAAACATTTCCTCTGAGAGAGGAAGGCAAACCTCAGCACTCCCCTCAGCTCACGAAAAAAGGAACTTGTTAGAAAGCCTTGAACCCCTCCAAGGTGGAAGGGACACAGGGAAGCATTTTCCCCCTCCAAGATAGGCTTTCAAGGTTCAAAAAAGACCCAAACCCAACGAGTCTCACACCTTGCGCCTTGCCATCCCCGCACAAGCTCCAGGACAACAAAAGGCACTTGCAACCCTCCTACAGAGATGCAAGACAAGTCACTTTCACAAGAGCCCAAGTCCGGACAGGGCAGAGTTTCCCACACGCGTGTTAAAGGCTCCGGAGCCCGGGACCCGGGGGCGCGGGGGGGGGCCCTGCCAGCCCCAAGGGCACGGGGAACGCGCTGATTGGCCCCGGCGCAGCCCCGGGTGACTGGGGGCAGAAGCGACCTCAGAACGCGGCTGAAGGAAGGGGGTCCCCTCCAGGACACCGCCCCCGCGCGCGTTAAAGGCTCCGGGGACCGGGCCCGTCAGAGCGGAACTCTGCGGGGAGGCTCTGGCTCCCCCCTCCCCACCGCCGCTGCCAGGACCCCGGGGAGAGGCCGCGCCGGTACTCACTCCCCATGGCGGCCGCCGGCGCCGGGCAAAGAGCAGGCGAACAGCAAGCGGCGACTACGAGAGACACGTCAGTGCTCGAGCCGCCGGGCCTCCTTCCGCTTCCTGCCACGCACGGGGGTCGCCGGGAGCCTCTACGCACGCGCGGCGGCCATATTAGTGCGGCCGGAACTATAATCCCCGCTCTGGGGCGGCCCCGCGAGACACTACTATTCCCGGCATGCACTGCGACAAGGGAAAGCGGGCGCTGCATCCCCGCCCCCACCGGCTGTACTAACGTTCGATTGGCTATAGGGTCTGTCAATCTTAGAGCCCGCGGGGGGGGGCACGTGAGGGCCGCTCGGCATGCTGGGAGTTGTAGTCCCTGCCTGCTCAGGCGCCGTAATGGGAGGAGAGGGTCTGAAGTCTGGGTGGGGGCGTTTTTCAAAGCTCGTGAGCAGGGATCCTGGTTTTCTCTGATTAAAAAAAAAAAATCCCCAATTTTTCGGTTAAAAATGTAACGCAAAATCCACAATTTTCTGTGATAAAAATGAAACATTACTATCTATCTAGCTATATCTAGATATATAAAAGTATATGTATAAATATAGGAGTTTTGGGTTACTTTTTTTTTTAACCAAAAATTGGGGATTTTTTTTTTAAATCAGAGAAAACCAGGATCCCAGGCAGGGGGTCAGACTTGAAGATCTACAAGGTCCCTTCCGACCCTACTTCGTTGATTCTATGAGTTAGGCCCTCCCCTGTCATAGCCTTGACTCCAGAAGTGTAAATACGAGCACACACAAGCCAGTGGGGCTGCTTTTTGCTCGCCTGGCTTTCCCCTGAGCACTGCAGGGGCTCAAGCCTTTTTGTCTGCAGCCATGAATAGATGTAGGGGGTGCAGATGGTGAGGGGCGGCATCCCATATGCATTTTTCTCTGGTTCCAAATGAACGCCAGGTTCGGGGGCTGTGTCATCCTGTCTAAGATTGAAGCACAAACCTACATGGCTTCATTGGAATGAGCTAAAACCAACCAGCAGGGCTGCAAAATAGGAGTGTCCTTAGCAGGAGCAGCTCACAGACAGCAGCACTGCAGAGAAAAGGCTAGCTTGATGGGTGGAACATCAAGACAGTTTAAAAGGAGAGGGGGCTGTCAACACCTGTGGAATGCAGAGTTTAGAAGAAACTGGTAGATTATAATAAGCCATGAAATCAAGTGACTCCCTCAGCACTGCCTGACTAGAAATGCTGCTGCCACTGCCATGCACTTGGTTTTAAACTTGGGGTGGAGTAGGAATCCAAGAGTGGGTGCAAGTGCACTAGTGCACCCTCTGCCCCCATCTTCAGCAAAGAAACTGTTTCATTTCCACGACCAAAAAAATAACCCACCAAAAGCTAAGGCTCTTCTGAAATCACAAGACTCCGGGAGCTGGAGGCTTTCAGGAAAACATGAACTTATCAGCCCTACAGCCAAGGATTTGTGTTATGTTCCCCATACAGTGGGATGGCTTCATTCAAAACATGATGGCAGCATCAGCCATGCTGGTATATGGTAGTGCCAAGAAGAGCTAGGCACTTTTGAGGCATCTGTAAAGGGACAATCTTTGTAGTGAAGATCTTTGCAGAGTAAGAGTTATGTTGCTGTAGTCCAGGAATCATACAAGAGACAAGGACTCAATTAGTGTGATATATTTTATTGGACCAACTGCTTGGTTAGGATAGTGTTAGACGAGCTTTTGAATGCTAGACAGTCTTCATCAGGTCAAGCTTTGATCTGAGACCTGATGAAGAACGTCTTGTATTCAATAGCCTCTCTAACTCTATCCCAACTATGCAGCTGGTCCAGTAATAGATAGTGCACTAAGAAATTCTTGCCTCTTCTGGTGTATAAGGACAGACACATAAATAGACAGAGGGTAGAGGAAGGGGAACAACAGGGGTTTTAATAAAAGTCAGCTAGACTTATTGTAAGTAGGTAGAACTGGGTCTTTCAGAAGATTGAAACGTGGACAGCTTTGAATTGCTGACAGGACTGCCTTACACGCGTAGCAGCCACATACTAACACATCATGAGACGGCCACTGACATTAGGTTGATTGTACCGTTAGATACAAGCATGAAAACACTGAGGTAGAGAAACATGTGAAAACATTTTGTTACATCAAGATATCCTCACCTGCAACATGGTACAACTGCATTGTGTATACAAATGTCATTTGGTTATGTCAAAACACCATTGCATGAAGACAGAGATTGATGACAGTTTGGTTCAGCAGATTGACATGGCATCAGAATGCCATCACGCTGTGACACAATATGTCGAAAAAGTGTCACACCTCTTTGCAATGTCATCCTGCCAAGAGACAGCATGGTAACCTTATGTTAAAAATTAGAGGTAACTATGGCATAGCATAGTAAGCATAGTGCTGGAATTAGTGTTGTCTTCCAGACTCAGCTGCTGTCTCTGTGTATTTGGTTGATTCACATACCATTTCCACACCTCGGTTTCCCTGTTTGTAAAATGAAGGTAATGATTTCTCATCCATTTCTGTAAAGTCATTTGTAATCCTTGGCTGAAATATGTAATAGAAGCACAAAGTCTTGGGATCCTTGCCAAGATAAACTGGCATGTCATCAGATGTGACAGAATGGCCTTATGTCAAATAAAAATCCTGCAGCTACTATAATCCACCCTCTCCTGGAGGTGTTACCTTTTGGTCAGGTTGGAGCACTTGTGCATGTAGAGGCTGGAAAAAGAAAAGAAACTTCCCAATCTGTTTCCTGCCCTCCACTTGGACTGTTAAAAAGATAAACTTCAACTTTTAGGGATCTCAGTTCAACTCCTTTCATCAGAATTAATCTCACTCTTAAAAATTAGCTTCTTGGAGGTAGACAGTCCCACAGATTGTTCATACTAGTAGCCTTTATCAGTGATATAAAAATAGCTGAAGAAACAGATTGCGTTATTCTGGGCATTGGCTAGCTGTCAGATTTCTTGGTTTGTTGCTTGTTTTGAAAAATTAATTTAAAACAATGAAAAGCTTTGATGTGTTTGCCATTGTAATAATAAAAAAATGTTTATAACCAGATATGGACCTGAGCTGGATCATAGGGATGGATCATTTCTAACTCCCTTCACAAGTTGGTGGGAGACTAGATTCAAATCCAGATCTAAACTCAGCAGCTCTTGTTTATCTCAGTAATTAGTCCCATCTGGAACACTATAACTGAACAGCCTCATTTTTGGGGCAAGTTTGTTCCCAGATCTGAAATGTGCCAGATACAGCCCTAATTATAAATAAGATTCCAATAATCTAATCTTTTAGGGTCCCAGAGTGAATAGTCTTTCCTCTGCCAACCAAAAGCAAGGCAAAGCACACTACAGTACAAACCACATTATTTCTCTTCCATAAATAGGCATAATTCTGTCAAACCACTGAAGAGCAAAAGAAATTGAAAACATAATTACAGTAGCATTATTGGGATGGGGCAAGCAGAGTACTAGCAACATCCTGCAGCTCTCTGTACCTCCACCCTAGCACTCAACAGCATCAGTGAGCCAAAATTGGTAGTTACACCTCTGAATGGACAGAGGACACTATTGAACCAGTAGGTCAAATTCTACCTGCAGCAACTCCCAGCAACTTTGGTAATTTATATTGGTTACAAATCTGACATGTAGACTGTTGTAAATTGAGTGATGAAAAAGGAACATCACATGTGAGGACTATTTTTTCCCCTGTGCTTGTAGAGCACACCTAGTACAACAGGACACCAATCCTGATTGGTGACATTTGGTACTACTGGGATAATAATAATGATGCTTAGGATTATAACAATAATTAATAAGCCACTCTTCAAAGGCAAGCAACAGCTGAAAAGAAGCAGACATAGATTTTAAACAGCTTATTCTTTTCATGCCTTGCTATTCTTTCTTGAACCAAATCAGTCTCTCTTACATAACCAAGCTAATCCTGCCTCAGAAATGAAGTGCAATTTAGGACCATTAAAAACATTAATATTCACTTACTGGCTCCAAAGTCTGTTAGCCAGTGCATATTCCACTGTTTCACACAGTGAAAATCTTGAGCATTTGCTGCAAAATTATATATCTACTTATATTTTGATTACATTAGTACAGAATTGACATTTAATTACAGCTTTTAAATTTGGGCTCCATTCTGGGGTGATTAACTTGGGATGCTGGACCCATATTGCAGTTAATTGTCCCCTAATGGAACCTGCAAAGAATAGCATGATTGCTTAAATAGCCAGGTGGAAATGGGCAAATAGTTGAGGGTGGAAGGGTTGTAGAGTGGGAAGAAGGGTAGTTACTCAATGTCTCTGTGTTGTATTGGTATACTTCCCAGTTCCATTTATATCGGCTGAGTGCAGTGGGCTAATATTCTCCATTTAAAAAGTCCACTTTCTTAATCTCCATAGCAATCTCCTGTTCAATTACCATTTCACTATCAGCATGATAAAGCTTTCAATTTTCAATAAACATAGGCTTTTACCAGGTGGGCTAAAGGAGATTTGTGTCAGCTGTTGCGCTACCAGGTCTTAGATCATCTGAGCGCAGCAGTCACTAGAGGGCAACATAACTGCATTGACTTATTTACATGCATACATACACATTACACTTACCATCTATATGTTCATATGGCTGACATTAATATATTTAGTATTCACTTACAGGTGAGGATTTGCTGTTGCACTGGGGGTTTGTGTGATTTGTCTATTTAATATGACTGTCCATAAGTGATCTCTGACTCTGATACTTAATGCAAAACTCTGGGAGTAATATTCTGTTTAACCACAAGGTGGAAGAGCTGCTTTGCTTATGTTGCCACCTCTGTTAGCTTGCATGAAATATGCACACACATTAGACAAGTATCATTAGTGTTATTATTTAATGGCTAGATTACAGCTGTGTGCAGAGGCCCAATTCAGAATCAGTACTCCTGGTGCTAAATGCAATTCAACTGTAGACCGGAAACAGCACCATGCACGTCGGATCTCTGTGCCACACAGACCCATTGACTTCACTGAGGCTTCTCTACCCAGAGCACTTTGTAGGGTTGGGTCTGTGACCATAGGATGATTCTAGCACAAAGGGCTAGATTCAGAAAAG